CATGCCAAGGAGAGAGACTTCAGAAAAAGCCGAAGTTCCCACCACCTTGATGCTGAATTTCAGAACTCTGAGAAAATAAATTTCTGTTGTTTAAACCACTGTTTTGTTGTATTTTGTTATGGCAGCCCCAGCAAAGAGTGGATATTCTTCAATCTCATCTTTAGCAGCCAGAGGCAAAAGTTTACTGAGTGTGCCTAACCCAGGGCCTGGCATACATGAGATCTGCTCAGTCCAACCCCAGCACCACTGGCCACATGTGGCTATTGTGCACTTGACATGGGGCTAATCCGAATTGAGGTGTGCTATCTGTGTAAAACACACTCTAGATTGTTGAACCCTTCATATGAAAAAAAACCCATAAAATCTTTTATTAATATATTTTCATATTGATTACATATTTATCAATAATATTTTGGATATCTGGGGTTAAATAAAATGTATCATCAAAAATTAATCTCACCTGCTTTTTTTTAACTTTAATGTGGCTACTAGAAAATTTCAAATTATGTATGTGCTTTGCATTACATTTGTGGGACGGAATTGTACTAGATGTTTAAAAAAAAATCTTTTGAGCCATGGGAACCTCTTGTACTCTTATTTTCTTCATGCCTAAGACTTGAAATTAGGTGGACTCTAGAATTTTTCCCCTGGTAAGAGTGTAGAAAATGGTACTGACGATCCAAAGAAGAATAGACATACCACAGGTGAAATAGGAGGACAGCAAAACTTCCTGGAGTTCCTTTATTGGAACTAATCCACACATTAACAATTACCAACAGGGACTTCCCTGCGGTTCCAGTGGTTAGGACTCCATGCTTCCACTGCAGTGGGTGTGGGTTCAATCCCTGGTGGGGGAACTAAGATCCCACATGCTGTGCAGTATGGCCAAAAGAAAAACCAAAACCCAAAAACAACAACAACAAAAAACCCAAAAGAACAATTACCAACAAAAGCACTACAGGTGGTGAAGGCAGTGTTTAAAGTGGGATAAATGCAGACCCAGAGGCTGAGAATTCTTTGCAATGATCATATCTGGTTGTGATTATTACCTGGTGTATCAGTCAGGGTTCTCAGCTGCAGACAACAGCACCATCTTTGGCTAACCTGAGCAAAAATGAAAGACTTAGAAAGAAATCAAGATACGGCACAGAATTGCTGCTGAGGCTGCAGAACCCGTCTTGCGAAATGGGCTAGAGCCAAAGGACTAGAAAGACAGCCCAGGTCATCCTGCCTGAGCAATAGGTTAGGATGGCACTTCTCACCCTACTGCTCCTGGCACTTGAAGCCCATCTGATGGAGCCTCTATGCCACCACCTCCTCTGCACTCTGACACTGCTGCAGGGTGCTTTCTCAGCTGTCCATACATCTAATCACTCTTCCAAGATCAAAGTCACAGGTTTGGGGAACTGACTGAGAGAGCTGGGTCACTGGGGCTCTAGAGCCCATGCTGCTGGGGGTGAGAAGAGGGAGGATGTGGCGCCTTAACTCCTGAAAGAGGTGGAATCTGCCTCCCACCAAGACTCACATGGGGGGAATCAGCCACAAGGGACATGGATTTGGATGAGCGTAGACAACAAAAACAGAAAAAAAAATTCAGACCAGTACAAAGACAGGAAGGATCCTTTTCCTCAGGACTGTCTTAGTTTTGTGGAGAGCAATAAACTCAAGAGCTACACTATAGTTAATCTGTATTCTATTTATGTTATTATTTATATAATAAACCCTTTCATAGCATGCAGTATGATTATATATATATATATATATATATATATATAAATATGGTGGTCACTCTTCTAAATGTTTCATAAATATTAATTCTGCTAACCTTCATATCAACTTCTCTATCATCATCTCTATTTATGGATGGTTAAATTGAAGCCCAAAGAAGTAAAGTAACTTGGCCAAAATCACACAGCTAGTAGGTGGTAGGAGAGATTTGAAGCTATGTAGTCTGGGGCTTCAGGGCTGATCGTTTAACTACTATACCACACTGCTCCTTACTATAGCAATTTTTATCTGTAGTTATACTTAAGAAGATGTTTAGGAAGCAATATATAATTTATTCCATTATGTGGGTTCTGTCCTTTGAACCATTTTTACTGTCTTTATATATAGAGCCCTGAGTTTACAGAGAGAAGTCATTGAATAGCGGGTGATGTAATTAACAACTGCAATCAAGCAACTCACATACAAGTTGTAAAGATCAGATAAATGACAGATGGTACAGGATAGTTCATGATAAGAAAATACTTCATACTTTTGGCCCTGGAGGACTCTTACTCTAAGGAATGTTTCCAACTTCTTTCATAAATAATTCTTTTTTCTTACCCCCTTATATGATTTTTCAGTGATTTTCTAAAAATCAAACTTTTATTTTGTTGTGTCAAGATATTGAGTCCTATCCAGACCCCTGGTTATACAGGAATTTCCTCATGTTTTCTAATAGAACTTGTAAGGTTTCATTTATTTACATTTAGAGCTTTATCCATTTGGCGGTTATACTTATGTGTGGTGTGAGCTATAGATCTAAAATTTGATCTTTTCCCAAAGAGTTATCCAGTTGTCCCAATACCATGTTTTAAAAAGCCCATCCTCTTCCAGTGATTTAAGACACCATCACTACAGTGATTTCTGTTTCTTTAAGTTCAACTTAATATATATATATATATTGAGTACCCACCATGGGTTGGACACTGCACTTAAGAAGTAAAAAGAAGAAGGAGACTTGGCCTCTGGCCTTGAACTTGTGGCAGCCTAATTCAGACTTCTAAAAGTAAAGCCATTTCTTAAAGTGAGACAACAGACTTTATCAATAACGTTTCATTAAAAGGCAAGATCGCTCACTTTTCTCAAGACCATCTGATTTTGATCACTTAGGAAAACTGAGAAATTTGCTGTGGCTAAAGTACAGCTGTGATACTCAGAAACACTGCTTATTTAAGAGAAAAACTGTCCTTACTTTGTAAACTCATCTGACTTTTGAGAACTGAGAGACGCTTCTTTCCTACTGTCTGGTGTATATCAGGGACCCTGAAACCACAGAAGCAAGGGAAGCCGAACACACAATCACTTGTCTGATAACGGCCGTTTCCCTTTATCTCACGTCTTGAGCACATCTGAGTGCCGTGCCCAGCAGTTCAAGGATCTCTCTTTCTCAGCTTGTATTTACTGCTTTATTAGAAACTTTTTTCTTTTTTTTTTCCGGTATGCGGGCCTCTCACTGTTGTGGCCTCTCCCGTTGCGGAGCAGAGGCTCCGGACACACACACTCAGCGGCCATGGCTCACGGGCCTAGCCGCTCCGCGGCATGTGGGATCTTCCCGGACCGGGGCACAAACCCGTGTCCGCTGCATCGGCAGGCGGACTCTCAACCACTGCGCCACCCGGGAAGCCCTATTAGAAACTTTCTCGTCTAATGGTTTCCTGGGCATAGATTAGAAATTTGCAACAAGAGACATTTTCCCTGGTAAGGAATTACTTTGGTTATGAACTAATAGGAACTAGTGGTACATATTTAAATATTCTGTTTCCTCTTTTACAAATATCACACATTGCACAAATATTTGTGGTATGCCTTCCAAATACAAGGTGCAACAGTGCGTTACAGAATGACATATGCTGGGTTCTGGTTTCAACTTCCCAGTTTCGCTTGTATGGTATTTTTCCCTCTATTTTCTTCTAATTACATAATTATGCAGATGTTACATGCATATCCCAGATATAAAATCTCAGGGTTGGTAGGAAGCTTAGCAGTTATTTGATTTAACAGCCACGTCTTGCATCCACTGGTGCTCCGCTCATGTTTAAAATTTTATTAGAACAGATGGATCAGAGTGAGTTCAGAGAAGGTAAATCTATGGAACTTGACTAGTTACTGACTTGAATCATAGAATGGTGATTGTAAGGAAGGTAGTTCAGATAAGTGCTGTATGGGGAAAAGAAGAAATGGAAGAAAACAAGTGGCCAATATACAGGGAACTATATAATTTATCATATAAGCCAGAACATTGTTGAGGGTGAAAGAGATACTATTAATAATTATGTTAGGACAATAGACACAAGCTGGGACTGTCCTTGATAAATCATATAGACCTATAGTAATTTAGGAAGATGGAAAGAGTAAGCATACTGTCCATTAAGAACCTAGAGATATCATAAGGGCCTGACGAGTGTGTTTACGGGACTGCCCAGACAAATTTTTCCTCCTGGTATAATCGTAGTCTTGACACTTAAATTTACGTTTGCAGTTAAGGGGCAAAACAATCAGATCTGGGGATCAGAGATGCTTTCTCTGCAGCCTCTCGATAGTCTCTTCAATTTGTTTCAATACCAAGGAAATCAGAAATCTCAGACCAATGCCGGATGTGGTAGGAATCCCAGGACAATCCACAACTTCCCTGCCAATTTAGGGTTATCTGCCTGGAACCATTTCAACTGGCAGCGGCAAGTACCTTATGAAGCAACCAGGATGAAGTTGTTACCAGGATGAAGTTGTTACCAGGATGAAGAACCATGTCAGCTAAGGCCTCCTAAGTGTGTCACGCATTCAGCTAGGATTTACTGCCTGTCTGTTGCCTTACTCGTATTTCATTCAATCATATGTCCCCATGCGGCTGCTCTTCTTGCTTCATCTTACCTTAAGAGGAGACTCAGGCTCATAAAGCTAAGTGACTCCACCAAGGTGACAGCTGAACGGGGACTAGGATAGAGACTCAAGCCTGCCCCTCTTTCTCGTTCTGCCACGTACTGGCAGGTGGTAGAAGCGCCCGGAGACGTTCGGGGAGGTCCATAGTAGGCCACGCACTGCCCTGCTCCCCTGGCCTTGGACATCCACCTCCCCTTCGATAAAGTGCTCCAGTGGGTGAAGCCGAAGGAGAGGCAGCGAACGGATACACGCGAAAGCTGAACTCGGACCCTGAACTTGGGCCGAGTAGGAAAGGCTCGCCCCGCCCTCCCCCAACATTACGGCGGCTGCGTCAACGAGCTGCGCCCCACACTCAACATGGCGGCGGCGGCGCCAGCGGCCTCCTGCCCTTCTCCATCATGGCGGCATCCGGACCCGCCTCCGCGGGCGCCGGAGTCATATGACCCACACAATGGCTGAGCACCTACTCCAGGCTTCCCGGCAACGCCAAGTGAAAGCCATGACGGCCGCCGCGGGTTCGGCGGGCCAAGCCGCGGTGCTCCTGCTGCTGTGCGCGCTGCTGGCGCCCGGCGGCGCGTACGTGCTCGACGACTCCGACGGGCTGGGCCGGGAGTTCGACGGCATCGGAGCTGTCAGCGGCGGCGGGGTGAGCAGCGGGGGGTGGGACGCGCGGGTGGCGTCAGGGCACCGCTCCGTCTCGCCCCACAAGCCCCCGCGGCGTAGCCTAGCGTTTCGGCGCTCTCCCGTCGCGGCCCGGCTCCCGGCGGGCGCCCCTCGCCTGGCTGTCCAGACCCGCCGGCCGCGGGGCTGGAACCTGCGTTTGCTGGTTTAAAATGAACCTGTAGAGCCAGTTAGATTTAACAGATCCGGGGGTCCACCGAGTAAGTGACAGGTCTAGATAGTGACAAGGCTGGGGCTCAAACCCTTCCTTTCTCTGGGCAGCGGGGCCTGTCGGGGCGGTTCTCTTCGCCTTGGAGAGGGCACTCTGGGAGGGTCGCTCCAAAGACGGCCAGGGAGCCGAGGAGCATCCGTCTGCTGAAGAGGATGCCCCAGTGGGATGCTTTGGCTGTGCCTCTTCTTTTTTAGGGAGGGGTGTCGGGGAGTCCTGGACCAGGATGTGGTTGGGCTCTTTCAAAGGGTCAAGTACCGAATAAGTTTTTTGTTTTGCGGTACGCGGACGTCTCACTGTTGCGGCCTCTCCCGTCGCGGAGCACAGGCTCCGGATGCGCAGGCTCAGCGGCCATGGCTCACGGGCCCAGCCGCTCTGCCTCATGTGGTATCTTCCCGGACCGGGGCTCGAACCCGTGTCCCCTGCCTCGGCAGGCGGACTCTCAACCACGGCGCCACCGGGGAAACCCCCGGATAAGTTTTTGTTTGGAGGCACAGCAGGTATCTCAAGGCCTCTTTAGGAAGGTGAGAGGCTAGAAACTGGGACTTTTTTTTTTTTTTTTCTTTTTCTAATGGCAGGCTACACCAGTATCGACTTATAGTTTAGGATTGTTTACTCTTGGAGGATTGTTTTCCCCTGGATGGCAAAGGCCTAAGGCGGGGTGAGTTGCCCTCTGGAAGGGGCAGTGCCTCATTGGTGGCTATTTATGTGTGTGAGGAGAGGCAAACGATGGGTCACCAGTCAAGATAGTGACTCACCACCGTTAAGATGCATAAGAATCACCTGGTCGTTGGTTTCAATGCAGACTCTGGCCTCCCCGCCAGCTCCCATTTTGACTTTACAGTTCTGGAGTGGGGCCTGAGAATCTGCTTTTTAACAAATGCGCCAGTGGCTTCTCATACTAAATGTTGAGAGAACTATTTTCCTGATTCAAGGATCTCTGGAGCAAGCGGTTTTTTGTTTTTTAAATAAAATTTTAATTTAAAGATAGTTTCAGATTTACAGAAAAGTTGCCAAGACAATACAGAGTTCTCATATACCCTGTAGCCAGTTTTCTCCGGTTATCAGCATCCCACATTAGTACGGGACATTTGTCCCAACCAATATTGATTACATTAATGAAAGTCTGTACTTCCTTTCATATTTCCTTAGTTGTTACCTAATGCTCTTTTTCGGTTTCAGGATTCCATCCAGGATACTAACTGCATTTAATTGGCATGTCTTTTTAGTCTTTTCTAGGCTGTGTCACTTGGGATAAGTTCGTATTATCTGGGCATTTTAAAATGTTAAGGGAGACATGAGGGCCATTCCAGCTTAATGCAACATTTGTGTGGGCACAGCTGGTAATTTCCTTAGTTCCCTAGTCATGCTGATGGGTGGCTCCTAGGCCCTGGAGCTTGCCACAGTAGCATGATTGTTCTTGGCTCCTAACAATTTACTTACTCCTGTCTCATGCTCTTTGTAACCATTGTCTTGTCTTTGTTTTATCCCCTTCTGTTTATAGCTTTTGGATCCATGGGGTTTATGGTGGCAGATCTTTGGGTGAGAGGGATTTTCTTTTTTGTACCCCAGATCATAGCTAGAACTGATTTTATTTGAAAATTGTAAGGCAGAACTCTTGAATTGGTTGAATGGGTTGTTTGTTGGATTGAGTCAGATTGGTACTTGTATCCTTAGATGCAATTCAGAACCAGCTTGAATGCTTGCTTCCTGGGTGGATGTTTTGGGCTGGTCTCAGCCTATTGATAACCAGTGCTGTGGAGGGACTGGTCCTTGTGCTTCTTTTTTTTCTTTCTTTCTTTCTTTCTTTCTTTTTTTTTTTTTTTTTTTAACGTTTTTATTGGAGTATAACTGCTTTACAATGGTGTGTTAGTTTCTGCTTTATAACAAAATGAATCAGTTATACATATACATATATACCCATATCTCTTCCCTCTTGCATCTCCCTCCCACCCTCTCTCCCTATCCCACCCTTCTAGCTGGTCACAAAGTACCGAGCTGATCTCCCTGTGCTATGCGGCTACTTCCCATTAGCTATCTATTTTACATTTGATAGTATATATATGTCCATGCCACTTTCTCATTTTGTCCCAGTTTACCCTTCCCCCTCCCCATGTCCTAAAGTCCATTCTCTAGTAGGTCTGCATCTTTATTCCCATCTTGCACCTAGGTTCTTCATGACTATTTTTTTTTTTTAAGATTCCATATATATGTGTTAGCATGTGGTATTTGTTTTTCTCTTTCTGACTTACTTCACTCTGTATGACAGACTCTAGGTCCATCCACCTCACTACAAATAACTCAATTTTTTTCCTTTTTATGGCTGAATAATATTCCATTGTATATATGTTCCACATCTTTTTTATCCATTCATCTGTTGATGGACACTTAGGTTACTTCCATGTCCTGGCTATTGTAAATAGAGCTGCAATAAACATTGTGGTACATGACTCTTTTTGAATTATGGTTTTCTCAGGGTATATGCCTAGTAGTGGGATTGCTCGGTTGTATGGTAGTTCTATTTTTAGTTTTTTAAGGACCCTCCCTAATGTTCTCCATAGTGGCTGTATCGATTTACATTCCCACCAACAGTGTGTGAGGGTTCCCTTTTCTCCACACCCTCTCCAGCATTTACTGTTTGTAGATTTTTGGATTATGGCCATTCTGACTGGTGTGAGATGATATCTCATTGTAGTTTTGATTTGCATTTCTCTAATGATTAATGATGTTGAGCATTCTTTCATGTGTTTGTTGGCAATCTGTGTATCTTCTTTGGAGAAATGTCTGTTTAGGTCTTCTGCGTTTTTGGATTGGGTTGTTTGTTTTTTTGATATTGAGCTACATGGGCTGCTTGTAAAATTTGGAGATTAATCCTTTATCAGTTGCTTCATTTGCAAATATTTTCTCCCATTCTGAGGGTTGTCTTTTCATCTTGTTTATGGTTTCCTTTGCTGTGCAGAAGCTTTGAAGTTTCATTAGGTCCCATTTGTTTATTTTTGCTTTTATTTCCATTTCTCTAGGAGGTGGGTCAAAAAGGATCTTGCTGTGATTTATGTCACAGAATGTTCTGCCTATTTTTTCCTCTAAGACTTTTATAGTATCTGGCCTTAAAAGTCTGTAATCCATTTTGAGTTTATTTTTGTGTATGGTGTTAGGGAGTGATCTAATTTCATTCTTTTACATGTAGCTGTCCAGTTTTCCCAGCACCACTTATTGAAGAGGCTGTCTTTTCTCCATTGTATATTCTTGTCTCCTTTAACAAAGATAAGGTGACCATATGTGCGTGGGTTTATCTCTGGGCTTTCTGTCCTGTTCCATTGATCTATATTTCTGTTTTTGTGCCAGTACCATACTACCTTGATTACTGTAGCTTTGAAGTATAGTCTGAAGTCCAGGAGCCTGATTCCTCCAGCTCTGTTTTTTGTTCTCAAGATTGCTTTGGCTATTCGGGGTCTTTTGTGTTTACTAATTGTGTGTGAAATTTTTTGTTCTAGTTCTGTGAAAAATGCCAGTGGTAGTTTGATAGGGATTGCATTGAATCTGTAGATTGCTTTGGGTAGTAGAGTCATTTTCACAATGTTGATTCTTCCAATCCAAGAACATGGTATATCTCTCCATCTATTTGTATCATCTTTAATTTCTTTCATCAGTGTCTTATAATTTTCTGCATACAGGTCTTTTGTCTCCTTAGGTAGGTTTATTCCTAGATATTTTATTCTTTTTGTTGCAATGGTAAATGGGAGTGTTTTCTTGATTTCACTTTCAGATTTTTCATCATTAGTATATAGGAATGCCAGAGATTTCTGTGCATTAATTTTGTATCCTGCTACTTTACCAAATTCATTGATTAGCTCTAGTAGTTTTCTGGTAGCATCTTTAGGATTCTCTGTGTATAGTGTCATGTCATCTGCAAACAGTGACAGCTTTACTACTTCTTTTCCCATTTGGATTCCTTTTATTTCTTTTTCTTCTCTGATTGCTGTGGCTAAAACTTCCAAAACTATGTTGAATAATAGTGGTGAGAGAGGGCAGCCTTGTCTTGTTCCTGATCTTAGTGGAAATGGTTTCAGTTTTTCACCGTTGAGGATGATGTTGGCTGTGGGTTTGTCATATATGGTCTTTATTATGTTGATGTAAGTTCCCTCTATGCCTACTTACTGGAGGGTTTTTATCATAAATTGGTGTTGAATTTTGTTGAAAGCTTTTTGTGCATCTATTAAGATGATCATATGGTTTTTATCCTTTAATTTGTTAATATGGATATCACATCAATTGATTTTGCGTATATTGAAGAATATACATTCTTGCATTCCTGGGATAAACCCCACTTGATCATGGTGTATGATCCTTTTAATGTGCTGTTGGATTCTGTTTGCTAGTATTTTGTTGAGGATTTTTGCATCTATGTTTATCAGTGATACTGGTCTGTAGTTTTCTTTTTTTGTGACATCCTTGTCTGGTTTTGGTATCAGGGTGATGGTGGCCTCGTAGAATGAGTTTGGGAGTGTTCCTCCCTCTGCTATATTTTGGAAGAGTTTGAGAAGGATGGGTGTTAGCGCTTCTCTAAATGTTTGATAGAATTTGCCTGTGAAGGCATCTGCTCCTGGGCTTTTGTTTATTGGAAGATTTTAAATCACAGTTTCATTTTCAGTCCTTGTGATTGGTCTGTTCATATTTTCTGTTTCTTCCTGATTCAGTCTTGGCAGGTTGTGCATTTCTAAGAATTTGGCCATTTCTTCCAGGTTGCCCATTTTATT